TATACATAAGAAACACATTATATGTATTATATATTATTGCAGGTGAAACTGAAACATAACATCAGATTTAATATAAGTTTGAAGTTCTTAATTTTATAAAAAAAACATTTAAAAATAACATCAATCTCTCCTTGTGTGAGAACTGTAACATCTTGTTTTCTACTTATTGCCTCTTTAATTTATTTACCTTCCCTCCAAGAACTAATATAAAACAGTCTCTATAATATCATCTAGCTGTCATGATAGAAAATTTTTATATCATTCAATCTTATTTGTCTAAAGAGTAATCCAATAAAAACTAAGACCCCTCCTGTCACATCCTCTCTTTTTTTTCAGTTTGCTAATAGGTTTCCCTGACGTCCACCCTCATTATATTTATAACCAATAGAAAGCCTAGATTTCAACAGATTGATTGCCACATTTCTTTTATCACTTAAAGAGCCAAAAAAATTGTGACAGTTACGGAACAGAATCAGCTTTTTGTTTTTTATATTACTACAATTACAGATTTTGTTCTTGCAGAACCCCTGAAACCAGTAAGCGGAACCTTAGGATTCTGTGAAACCCAGGTTGAGAAATCCTATTGTATGATCAACAGAAATATCAATATAAAAATATTAAAACTAAAACTAATTATAAGTTTTCATAGTTTCAAAATAGCATTGAAAACAAACTGTTGGTAAAATACCACTTTCAAGAGAGGTTGTTTACTAGACAAAGTCTAAAATCACCTGTGGAAATATGATAGTACAGTCACAATAACCAATGTTACTTTCAGCCAGTACTTTCCTGGATTAACTGTTAAGAGATATTTTCCAATTTGAAGTTGTTGTCATGAAATCTTCTAATGATTTATCTACCTTAACATGTTAACACCAATTTTTTATAGTTCCTGTTCAAAAGTTCTATATATATATTCGTAACATTCAAATTAAATGTGTTAAATTTATAAATGCCAAGATCTCGACTAAACTAAAAAGATTATATATATATGTATATATATTATTTATCAAGTTAAGGTATCACTCCTCTGATTAGAAGCTGTTTGAGTACTGGCTTTAGCATGCTAAATTAAGAGATTGAAGATTTAGTATCCTTCAAGTCTCAGATTCTATAGTGCTGGTAGTATTCAGCAAATCACATCTATTGAAATAAATAAAAGCAGTACAGTCTCTGAATATGTTGCAACATTAATCTACAGAAATGAGTTTCAAACATTATTTACAAAGTTTATATATGACTAACCAGGAAGATAACAAACACTGGTCAATTAGGAAGTTTCTTAATGCTTCATTTTATAGAAACAAGTACTGTTCTCCCTATTTTTTTTCAGAAAAATGTAATTTAGAATTTTTTAAATGTTTTGTTGTCATTTTATCACTTCAAAACCTTTCACAATTCCCAAGTAAAAGTAACAAAGGACAAATACAGATCTTTAAACTTCAAATTAATCCTATCTCATATGGTTTCATAACTCTTAAAAGATCACCAATAATTCAACCAATTCTTTGACCCTCTTGCCATGGATAAGTCAAAGTGCTTGTCACTATATTTTAGGGTTTTTTATACTCAAAACTTAAATAAACTGCTTTATTATCATTGTATATGAAAAACTTGACATCAAATCATAGTTAATGAACCAAATTGTAATATTATGTAACTTTAAATTATAATTTTATAAGGAAATATTTTTAAATCTCCATCTCCCCTAGCATGAGAGTTGTGAAATTTGTTCTCTAAGTCTTCCCTCTTCTCAACTTTATTTACCACTTCTCTGAGAGGTACAGAAATTAATGTAAATCATTCATTATAAAATAGATACTACTAAGGCAAAGTCTAAATTTACAAGCCTTCAATGTTATTTGTTTACAGAATCATAATCTAGATAATCAGACCAACTTTCCATGTCTTATCTTTTACAAACTGCCAACAGTTCTCTGATGTTTTATACTACATTATATATAACCAATAAAAGGCCAGTATCTTAATCTATCAAATAATGTACTATATTACATTGTTTTTAGTACAGAGTATTGTCTATTTCACCTTCAGTTTGAAAGGTTCTTATGTAATAGCTACAGAGCCAGATAAATTAATGTACTCATAAAACATTGTTTACTTTGTTATTCTTGCATTCTTAGGTGTATTATTTATGTAAATAAAAATTATCTAGTGTACTTGTACCATAACTATAAAAAGTAGGCTTATATTTATTCAGCAACCAACAGCAAAAAAACAAGAGGTCAAAATTAAGTGATATATATTTCTTGTTTTTGATATATATTTTATATTTATAATTATAAAAGTAACTGAAATGTAACAATTACATATTGTTAGATTAGATTAAGTAAGATAATGAAAAATATTAATAATAATAAAAATTCTTCAAGAGGTATGCTTGCGAGCAACTAATAGGTTATGTCATTCAATATGGTTACATATGCTACATGTTTGCCAAGTAATATACAACTAGTGCAACAGGACTATTAGTCATACAAGGGTAAAAGGGCAATAAAACAATATAATTAGGTATAAGTAGATATATATACTGTTAGACCCATAGAAAAACTGTGGAAAACTTTCCATTTACGTTGATAAACTTCCATGGAGGAAGGGCAAATGGAACGAGTAATGAAACTATTCACTAGGACAAGCCGGATCTCCTTGTCAAGGACCGGATAAAGATGGAGGATATGAAGGGCTGGATGAAGCACAGGTGACCGCTGTTGACAAAGAAGGGAGGGAGACAGAGAAAAAGGCAACGGAGGGGTAAGTTGGAGCTGGGTAAGCCGTGAAAACCATGGCTGACCCAGCCAGTAAGGAGTAATCAGAAGGACTTGATACAGAGTGGTATGGACAATCGAAATAACCCAGTAACGAAGTCAAATGGAGGATAAACATATAGGTATTTGTTGGTCCAATCCTGGCTGAAAGCATCGACAGCCAGAGCAAAAGGATGAGGGACTGGAGACCAAAACAGGGGTAATTTGTGGTTAAGGGATATGGCAAAAGCATCTATGTGAGGAGTACCCCACTGAAGGCAAAGCTGCTAGAAAACAAGAGAGACCACTCCATCGAACAGATTTTGTCTGAACAGGAAAGCCAATCAGCAAAAAGATTGAAAGCAGCAGGAACATGAAACCCAATGATATTAATATCTTGCATGTGGGCTCAAAAAAGAAGATGCAATGTACAAATACAAAGGGATTGAGAAAGAGTGCTACCCTGGTGATTGAGATAAGCAACCACTGTAGAATTGTCAGAATGGATCATTACCAGACAACTTTTGGCCAGATGGAGAAAATGAACCAAAGCCCGACATACAGCAAAAAGCACCAGGATGTTGATATGATAAGACCTCTCAGATCCAGACCAATACCCCAAAGCTTCCTGTTGATTGATCCATGCCCCTATCCCTGAAGGGATGCATCCATGAAAATGTGTAAATCTGGATTATGAGAAGGAAGCGGGAGACCCGCCAACATGCGAGTCTTGTCCAATGACCAATGTAGATTGCCAACAAAGGAAGGATAATAAGAACCTGCAAAGGATCCCATGCAAGATTCCACTGGTTGTGAAGAGCCTGCATATGAGCATGACCTAAGGGGATAAATGCTGCCATGGAAGACCACATCGCCAAAAGTGATAGAACTTCACTAGCTGTGATAGAGGGAACAGTAAGAGTGGGGAGAACTGAAAGCTCCATAGAACAGAAGTCAAAGAGGAGAAGGTTGGGCCCGACTGAGATGGGTGTTGAGAAAAACACCCAAATGAACAAGATGTTGGGTAGGTTAAAGGAATGACTTCTCCAATTTGTTTAACCAGCCCACACGAGCCGTCTCCAGTAGCAGTTGATGAGTGTGATGGGTGGACTCCTGTTTGGAACAAGCTAACAGTAGCCAGTCTTCCATATAATGATGAAAGTGCAACACGATATCATGTAGATGATGAGTAAATGCTCTGGCCACCCAACAGAAAACATATGGAGCCAAAGCAAGCCCAAGGGCAGTGAGCAAAACTGATAAACCACTCCATATTGGGATATATTCGGAAAGTCCATCTTGGTCATCCACAAACCTGGAGAAAAAGCCCAACTGAGGGTCAGAAACAATTCCATGGTAAAACAGGGTAGATTGAGAAATTGATTGAGGCAGGACACATCTATTACAGGCCGCCAATCTCCAGTTTTCTTGGGGACAACAAACAGCCTAGAATAAAAGCCTCGAGAAAGATGTTGAACAGGTTCGATGTCCTGTTGTCAGGATTTCGGTGTATCACTTCGGAAAGGAAATGGATGGTATATAAATATCATAGAAATGAAGTAAGGGTAAGATGAAGGCGTGAAAACTGGGCATGGGTTAAATAGACCCCAAATGCTGAGAGTCGAGAAACAGACAATCAGCTTGATGGTAAGCCAAGGCAAACTTATCTGTAGCCCATGGAGGGCAAGGCATGCTGGCACCCTCAACCAATTGTGAAGCAAGTGCTCAGCATGAACCCTAATAGTAAACTAAATATGGAGAGGAAGAAATATCATGCTGCAAAGAAGGATGGGGATCATAAAAAACTGGGGAAATGGATAAAACATAACATTCAGCCAAGATGGACCAATACGTCCCATGTTGTCCCAAAACATGATGTTATGTTAAAAGTTATAGTATGGAGATTCCTATGATTACTTTAAGGTGACAAAGTCAGATACACTGACCAAATCTGTATGGTAAGTGTTACACCAGTGCTAAAGAGCTTAATTTTTATAAGATGTCTGTACTTACCAGATGTTGTTTCTAACCCAGATTCAATATCTCTTTGAAATCCAGTTTCTGTTTTCACATTCATAACATTATATTCTGAATTATTTTGATCTTCATCATCACTGTAACTGAACTTTGAAATAACATCATCATCTTGTAGCAGATCACTAGACTGCTCCGTTTTCACTTGAACAAATAAGTTCTAAAATCAAACAATACATTGAAAAGTTTAACAGAAATAACAACTAGTGTTATCATTACATAGTTTCCACAGTTCACTAACTTAAAATAAGATGACATAATTAATAAACCTAACATTTCAAACATAGTCATGTATTTAAATAGTGCTAAAAACAATTATATCTTTATCTCATTTGGTGGGATCGGTTGACACCAAACACAATGAATGAAATGTTTAGTTCCACATGTTCAGTGGATGACAGGTTTGGGGTTTATTTTTATTTTGACCTCCTATTTGTAACATAATAACATAACAGCTGATTAAACACACATTCTACACATTTATGTTATGTAACATAATGGCAGATTAAACAGAATTCCATTATGTAACATAATGGCTAAATTAATACAGAATTATACTCATTACAATTATGTAGAACATAACGGATTTGACAAAGAATTCTATACATTCACATTACTTACCACATTATAGTTGATTTAATGAAGAATTTTTCAAACTCACATCAAGTATAAAGGGTTGAATATAATATGTTATGTTAAAATGATATTATATAGATAAATCAGCAAACACAGATGATATAAAGTTGTGGTTGAACAGCATGCATCAGAACTACAACTGACACTGTTTGCCATTTTAAAGATAATGTGATGAAACTGAAAATTGATCACTTTTGGAAAAGGTGTATAACAGTCCTTTCTGACACAAAATATTCATAAACATAGATCATAAAGATTTCTTCAGATTAGAAATTTAGGATTTTCAAAATGAAGATATCCATTAGCATTTGAAAACAAAGAAATATGAATCAACCAAGGGCACCAGAACTAGAGCTAGGTATTGTAATCAATTAGATATTAGCAACAATTACATTGATTAGTGTTACATAAACTAACTGAATAATAAAAATTACATGTTGAAAACAGGGTGGGGGCTTATGGTCTGAGGGTTTGGATTTCAGCTCCAATTATCAATAAATGTGCTTTCCCTCACCCTGTCTGTGTTATTAAAAAATTACAAAACTATCAGTCACTGTCACTATTTTTGAACAACTGCCAGAGGGACAGCAACTGGATGGCAGCACCCACTGCCAACTCTTTAGTTGCTTAAGTGTTAAGTAAAGTGTAAGTTAACTATTTTTCAAATTGTTATATTTCTACGTTATAACTGTATTATTTAATGTGGTATAAGTAGGCACAGACTGACTAATATATTGATGTTTAGGGTATTCAAACAATGTACTTAAATAAGTTGACTAACAGTGTACTATATTATTTTTAATTTTAATCATAATGTGTTTTAAATACAAACATTATTACCCTTATCAGTGACAGTAAAATATATTTTCATTATTTAATTATCCACTTATCAGATTTACAAAGATTAATATGAGATTAGTGCCAAGTTACAAAACAAACCCAATGTTGATTGAATGGTGCTTTTTAGTGAACATTATGGATTCATTTTCCAAGTAGAAAACGTCAAAATTTTCTTTAAAAGAAATTTGTGGTAAAATATTTTTTTAGACAAATAGTGTGTTTTTCACAAAATGTATAAATGACGATCTTCAGAAGAAGTCTATCATATGAAATGAAGGGCAATGAAAAAGTTACGAAGAAAATGTAATCACTTAATGAATGCAGAACTACCCAGAAAGACCTGTAACAAACCATGGTAAGCATAGCATAGCATCTTGTAACAGATGAGAATCTGTGAACACAAAGCTAAGTGGTAAAAGCAATCCATATGCTTCAGGCAACAGTAAACAACATAACCACAAAAGATTACAATGTTACAATGGAGTTTCTACAGAAACTCATCTGCTGTACTGCTTTAGTGAAGAAGCACAGCTATTAGACAGAGCATCACCAACAATGATGTAGGGCTCCAGAATAGGTTTAATATAATGTATTAAACTACTGTAAATATCATGGCTCATTCAATACAGATTAAGTTTTATAGTCAGAAGAAAAATCCAAAATTTTAGGTTCTTGTTTCATACAGCTGATGCAGTTTTCATAAGTAATTAGTAGAAAAGTACACAGTAAGTTATGTGGAAACACCTGTAGACAAGCAATATTACAGCAGCAAGAAGAAAAACTGTAATGACCTTATTCACAATAATGTGGCAAACTTGTAGTGGATTTCTTCAGCTTGTTACTACAAACATGTCATTACTAATTATTATTCCACGCAAAGTCCAAAAAGACACAATGATAGCTACATATTCTCTTTAATAACACAACTGTAAAAGATTTAATAAACAAATTACCTCACTTTTCTCTAATACTCCATCACACTTTCCCTCTTGCTCCTCTTTAACCGTACCAAATTTCAAAATAGTATGTAGAGAACTTTCTTCCAAGGAATCAGCTTCCCCTGTATCTAGAAATACAAGTAATGTAGGTTTGTCTATAACAAGACTCAATATAACTTATGCTTCACTAAATTATAATCAAAATCCACACTTTTCTACAATTTTAGCATAACATACTGGTGCATAGAAAAGAATCAATTTTCAGCAAAGGGCAGGTTCTAAAAATATACCTAGACTGCCATGCACATTGTTAGTTGTAGTCCCAAATGGTGGTTAAACAGGTTGCCAAGTTAAGAGAGCAAAGCATATTTCTAAACCTTCTGGTCTTAAAATGTCCATCATCCAAGTTTGACAAGTCTAACAAACTCATAAAACCAGTCAAGTCAGCAGGCACTCAGGAAGAATTAAAAAGAGCCAGGTGATTCTTAGAATACTTAGGTCATTGTACTCGAAACACTGAGTAAGGAAGTAAAATAATGTGAAAATTAAGCAGTATGCTGTACTCTTATCTTGATTGGAACTGCGAATAAATGTCATGTCAGATGTATCCTACAAAGACAGATGAAACTGCCTAAACACAGTGTTGCCTCATATCACAAGAGACTATGCAAAATTTATTTTTTAAGCAATATAAGTGATCTTAATTGTTAGGGATTCAACATGGCTTGAGAAATCATACAAAACAAGTAATAAAAAAATTTGAAAAATAAGGATGCTGTAGGGATGGAAATTCCATAAAGTACAGAAACATGATAGGAATGAATACACAAAATCCTACATAAGTAACTAAATCTTTCCAAGAAATATTTTTATCTATAACCAAATGTTGAATTCTTTTCACTCACATGAATTTAGGTTTGAATAAAAACATTTAAACTGCATAATGTTATAAAGTCTTACAATGGTTAATTCACATAAATTTGTAACATTGACTCAGTGGCTACTTATGTAGGGATTTTTGTATGGTTTTGTGTATTCATCCCTTCCGTAGTTCTGTACTTTTGGCATTTCTATCCCTACATCATCCTTATTTTTTGAAAATGTTTTTTATTGTTGTTTCCCTTTTTTTTCTAAATTATATCAATGAACATTATATAATGAATGACAGTTGCTATGAAGGCAGCAGTTTTAGCCTGGAGTGATGAGTTGTCTTGATGGACATCATATGTTGAAATTAGTGAAACGTTATACTGCTTCAGCACTCCCCAATGCAAGGTGTGTAAATCATTGCAAGCTAGCTCTTCTGACACCAGAATAGTATAATCAGCAAAATATTGAACTATTATGCTACTTGCCAATTCTATACTTTAGCAATGTTTTTCAGCTAAGCTAAAGGTTTTAACAGCTTTGGAAAACCTCAAAAATCTAAGTCAGGTGTTTATAAAAGTCTCTTAGTTTGTTATAATAGAGACTTGAGACTATGATGAGCAAAACATAATATGCATCGGCCATTTTTTTCCTGGCCTGTCCCATCATAATAAGCACTACTGTGCTTAGTAATAATATAAAACTTGGAATTTGGAAATTGTTGAACTTAAGCAGTATGTTAAAATTTTCATTCTATACTACTGAATTCTTTATTAATAGCAACACAGTAAAACAGTGAACCCAAACTTAGATAACTAACAAAGTATATATTCTGAAGAGGTCATATTTCAGCAAACTATTATGAATCACACAGGTAAGCAAGTTTGTTATGAAAGTATTTGTCATGCCCCAAAACACTGTAAAATTGTTGTAAAAAGTAGTCTTTGTTTTAATACGAGTGATTTGGATAGAATTTGGTGACACAGCAACTGTGACAGTAGAAAGTTCTTAGTAATAAAGTGGTAATTCTCCTATTTTCAAATATAAAGGCAACTTATGTAACCATTCATTTTGTAGCTTTAAGATACACTTTTCAAAAATGTTCTTAAAAATAGTTATTAACTGCATCAATATAAATCTTTTTCTTGCTTATGTAATTCTATATACTAGAATGTTTTTAAACTGTTCTCAAATAAATATCTTAAAAATTAAATGATGTATCTATTTCTAATGTTAAACTGATGTTCCTGGTTTGATATCACCTTTGTGGGTTCTACTTTTAACTGTCAAAAAATCCATTAGTTTATTTTGTTAGCCATTTAGATAAAGTACAAGAAACTTGGAGGAAGCCATTTTAAATTCTGATAATGTTGCAGATAAGGCTATTATTTTATTTATTTTAGATTCAGGACAACATACTGAGAACTGTGAGTTTGATAAAACGTCACTGGTGCAGCAGAAGTAAAAGAAACAGAAGAAAAGTGTAGGTCTCTATATCATCTTTTCTGCAATGAAGTTTACATTTATGAGAGGAAAAGAAATTCACTAATAAAATGTTTGATTGTTGTTAAACAAAAAACTACTAAACAGGTTATTTGTGCTTTACCCAATTATAGACTTATAAGTTGTTGATTTCAATTCCTAATTTGTTCAGCTTAGATGAATTTTATTTTAACTGAGGGAAGAGTGGTTCTCATGATTCAAAGCTGTTGGGTTTGATTCCCATTGGCCCAAAAGTTTCCCACCTTGTTTTGTTATTGAATGTTACCATGGCTCTCAGCCACTATCACTATTTCTGAATGCTGACTAAAATGAAGGCAACCACTGGCAACACCCACTGACAATTTTTGGTTTATAACTTATTTTTGAACTGCTGATTACAGGGAAGTCAACTGCTAAGTTTTTGTTAATTTTTGAATTGCTAACTAAACAGAAAAGAAGTGGCTGGCAGCACCCAATTACTGGGGCAATTGACAATCAATTAACAAATATTACTAATTCTTCAACTCTAGTTTGAGTAGTCTTCGTTTTAAAATAACAGCTGAAGAGAAGGATAGTGATAATTATGAGGTCCAAGTTGAAAAAATTAAAGGAAAGGACAAATACTGAAGTATCAACTTAACATGGCTCAGATGTTTCTACTGCAGACTTGGTGCCAGATGTACCAATTAACACTTTCTACACAGGCTCAGTTGAATTGACTGAGTCCATAACCATGGAGTACTCGTTACAGTTTCCATATTATAACTTTTTAATACAGTACGTATATTTTCACAAAATCTGTCAGACTTTGTACTGAAAAAAAACAAATTTTTTAATAAAGATTTGTCTGTGAATATATTGAGTAGTTATGTTTACTTGTCTGAATGCAAAGTGATTTTCACATTAAGATTAAGAATACTTTTATTCATCTGAAAACTTTACAAATTTCATTCTGTAATCTCTAAGACCTCCTAAGTAATTTTTTTTCAGTAAACTTTACATGTTATCTGTTATTTTCTCTACCACAACACTAAATAAGGTAGGTCAATTTGACACCTGTAGTCAGTCCACATATATTTTTATCAATCTGACAGGGACAACAAAGCATCAATGAGATCCTTGTATACTCATAGTCAGTCCACATATGTTGATCAATCAGGGCCAATAAATAATCGATGAGATCCTCAATTAGATCAAAATACATTTGTTGGTGATTATTACTTCACATAACAATGAAGTATGTTGCAGATTCCTTCTAAATCTATTGTCTTATCCAAATATGTTGATCACTGAGTGACAACAGAGCATTGATGGGCTTGCATAGTCAAATAGAAAATAAGATCTCAACTACAGAAGGAGAAGCTTCCAAGACAGCTAGTGAGTCACATGGAAGATAGGTATGTGGTGAATTGTATGATGTATGTATTTGGGTTTAACCTCACTCATAGGTGATGATATAGAATAAGATTATGAATGTCTCATTGGAAACAGGTTTTTGATATCAAAGACCAAAATAATTTACAAAATGCAGCCTAATTTTACATATTAATATAAATCCCTGGGACATGACATGAAATCCAGTATAAAAGTAAGAAGTTTTCAATCAATAATGGAAAATTCAGGCACGCTGCTAAATTAAAACAGGTGAAATTCACACTATTATGTTGGGAAGAACACCAAATATTAAAATTCTAAATACATATATAGACTTACTACTAGTTACTGTGAAATTTTCATCTTTCTTTTTCATCAATTTGATGTCCAACAACGTATCCTGCTTCTCATCAGCCATGGGTTCAACCTTCGTCTTCACTACTTCCATGATTACATAGAAGCTTCACCTTTATATTCTGTAAAGAAAGGTTGCAGTTTGACTACAGTGAAATAAATTAAGAATTAGAAGTTGCATATTTCAAAAAGGTTAGTCTTCAATAAATACTAATCTCAAAATTAAAATTACCTTAATAATGTTTTTATCAAATTATAAGCTTGACCTTTTTCACATCTTGATACTAAAACAGCAACATTATCTGAAATATAATGATCTGGAAGCAACATGTGTAGTAAAACTTAAAGACTAAGAGAACCTTTACCAACAATTTAATTCAGTTTAAACATGTATGTAATGACTGGGGAGTAGGTTGTTACTCTATTGACTAGAGTAGATATACCTCATATATAAAATTACACCAAAACTTGAACTACCAAAATACCTCTGAACCATTTACTGATTTTGGAATAGGAGTTGAATTATTTATTGTTTCAGTTTTCCATAATTCCCACCGGATTTTCTACAAACATGCATAATTTCATATACATTTAATTTAAAATTTGTACTTCCGTGAACGTGCACGATAATTTTCTTCGCATAAATTAAGATAGATATTATATTTCTTTTTATAAATTTAATACTTGCCGTGTGGGTAGTTTTTAAGCTATCTTGGTGATAAATTGCAGAAAATCATAGTGAAGTGATAAATACTAACGTCAGAGTTGTTTATACGTTGTAGGACTAGTTATCTCTATTACTACTGTAATCAGGCACTTGGTAAAACGTGAATGGATAAGTATTCCGCGTAATAGTAATTTCACGCCGATCATACTACAAACCTGTACCCAAAACGACTAAATAATGGAAAACGCACGGTGATTCTGATAATTTCTTTGCTCTGCGACAAAACTTATATTTTATTTTTAAAATATGCTCTTTGCGAACATCTTCATAGCTGGAAATTAAAACTTTGCAAATTTCCTGCAATGTTAACGAGCTATGGGCAATTAATTTTAATTAATTTTTAGTGGTAATTAGACAATTAGATTTTTGAATTTTAAATACTTCAAACTATGGAAGAGTGTAATAAAAACCAGTATGCTAAATTTCATGCTGATATTGACTTTAATGGTGAAGTTATTCTAATAGATTAGTGACCCAGTTAAAACTGCGTTTTAAGAAAATAGCTGTTATCTATGTAAAAAGAGGTTAAACTTTCGATTTAGGCAAAATTTGAAAAATGTGATATTTAAAATATTGGGGGCTCTTATTTTAAGAATGAGTGCAATCTTAAGCTTATTGTAGGGTGTAGGTATAATGCAGATGGATCGTTATTTCGTGTAATACTGGATAGTGACACATATGAGAAACTTTACTCAAACTGTACTGTACTGATCTATTGAATATGCAGAAGCAAGCGAAAAAATCCAAATAATTTACGCCACTGCATGCAAAACGAAAAGTGACTAAAATAGTAAAATCATACACTGCTGATATCACAAACAAATAAATTTTACATAAACTGCATTGAAAGACATAAAAATCAGCGTGAAGCACAGAAAATAAAAGCTTATAATATACGTACATATATAAAGCTACTGAGGTTAGGAAAACGATTTAGTGACTCTCATAATGTCTTTGTTCCACGCAAATAGTTATATATTATTCAAAGGCGTGTTCAAAGACACAAAAATTAGCATGCAGCAACATACATACACAAAACGACTGATGTACGACAAACGCTCTGGATACTCTGATAATTTCTTTGCTCCGCGACAAAAAACTTGTATATTATTAAAGAATATCAGGCAAATTCAGATGACATAAAAGTCAACATGGAGCAAAAAGAAAATCAGGGACTATAATATACTGTTGCGTCAGCGAGGTCACGTGACTAGTGTCACGCCACGTTTCTAGAACTATCCTGTTCCTTCGTGAATGCCCTAGCATTTACTAGATATATGTTAGTCTGGTATATATATAAGACGCTCACAACGTGACGGGACAATGTGTGTAGGTAGTGAGTAATTGAACTGCAGTCAGGAAGTATTGTTGAAATTAACGTTCGTTGTTATAGCGTTTGTTATAGAGCGACTGTTGAAAATAAGTGTATCGGTAAAGTTATATTCAGAAAGAATAAACCAGTTTTATTAAGTAAGGACTTTTTTCTAAAGTGGGAACGAAGTTACGGAAAATCAACTAACGAACGGAGACGTAACAGTATAAATTAAAGAACATCAACAAGATATAAGGAATTGAACTAAGGAGGCCTCAGCCTTAGCAACACTCTCACGTGACTTCGGTCACCAATCAAAATCTTCGACGAAGAACAGGGGATCTAAAAAGAAAAACAGAGGGGGGGGCTGCAATTAAAACCAACGATTGTTGGCCCTCTACAAAATTAAATCATAATCTTAGACAAAATTCACTTTTTAGTCACTAGACTAATATCTCCAGAAACGAAAGCTTTTACCTTAAATTAATCTAAAAATATTCACTCAAATTATCTTTCATCAAAACGTTTACCTTACCACATGTTTCTATTTTGTATTATCATGTAGAATTTGAAAATCTATTTTACGCAACAGGTGGCGAATTTTGTTGATTCTGTTGCTTTGTTTTTGAAACTGTCCAAGTGTCTGAAGAAATCCCCAGCACGGGAGTCAAAAGTTCACCAATAATAAATATTCGAAAGTGAGAATTTTCTAAAAAAAAACAAAACTGATTAACGTTAAAGGGTCTGAGAACAGTTTAAACAACAATTAATACCAGGTGATAACGTAACAATGTGGGTGTAGTAGGACGAAACCAGAAGGATGGTTTAAAGTGAGTCAGAGGTGACGTTATGATTATACAATTGATTCCACGAAGGAAAAGAAAGTGAAACAAGGTTTAAAATGTGACAATGTCACGGATTCGACGATAGACTGAATCGTGGGTGACGTCAGAGTAACAATATGGCTCAATATTTGAATTCGTGAATAAGATGGTTTTTTTTTATTATTGGCGTTATCTTGAAGTCCCCGCCAGACGTTTCTCTAAATCAGAAGAGGCTAAAGCACTATAAGTAGAACAACCTGAATAACAACTTATGCTCACATGGGCTAAACGGCAATGACCTCTACTAGGACTCGAACATAGCACTCCTAATTTATAATATGTAAAAATGAAAATCCTCAACAGAAATTACAACTCTTTCCCTTGTCCACAGAGGGGTTTTTAGATGAATATTTATGATTTTCTAACATCATTTCGTTACATTTTAATGTTAGTTTACTACACTGAAGATTGTCCATATTGATTATTCTAATAGATTTGGCGATTTGTTGCCATAGATCTGCTTTATTATTATAGGCAATAGTAGTTAGTGGGATTAACTGCAATATTGGTAGTATTTATTTTGTTAGATTTATTGACGATCCGAACGTTATTAGGATCCATGCAACCAACAAAGTTATGGATAAATAGTTTAAGCATCAGATAAATAAATTGCTAATGGCCCGGTTCTTGTAAATAATTATACTTTTATGGAACGTCTTGTTAATGTTTTAGTACATCAAAATTTCGTGTAAATATGTCAAGTATATCTCAACCTGAAAACACTTGATGTCACTAGAGAGATTACATGATACTAAACATCATATTTTTCCAGTCATACCTCCCATGGGAGAGTTCAGCAACATCTTAGGGGAATGAACTATGACGCGCATAAACAGGATAACAATAAGTTAATTGGTATTTTTTCATGTTAAATCTTTGTATTCGATCGCTAGTAAGTGTGGAAAATTTTGGGACTTCTGTCTAAACCAAAAGGAAAATAAATCACCTATAAGTGTCACATATCACAAAAGGTCTAATCTTGACGTACAATAAGATTAATTTAAATATGGATTTTTTTTCAGATATCCAGTAAAACTTAATGTAAATATTCAAATTAAATATACTGCAATTAGGCACCAGTAAGGTACGCTTACCATGTGAGGTATGTGTAAATGCATGCTATAATTAAAGTAATGTTTTTCTCATGTATTCTTCTTTTCGAATCTTCACTAACCAACATGCAAATGAATTTTGATTTTAAGATTAAAAATACTTTTATGCGTCAGAAAATTTTCAAATTTCACATGCGAAAATTTTATAACCCCAGAAAATTATCAAACGCTGCTTTTTAGAAGAAGAAAAACTTTATATTTTATCTGTTATTTTCACTATTGTATCACTTACGGGTTTGGTCGATTTGACCGACCTCGGAACCACCATAAAAATTGGGAAATAGACATAAATTATGCATTTTTCGTTATAGAATGACTGCACATTATAACATGAAAACACAAACGTTTAGTATAAATAAATTAAATTTTATAACATTATGCATCTATATACACTGAGTGGTCACAAGTAAATAGACAACTAATTTTTCGTCATTTAACTGATTTATGCTAACTAATTTGTGTTCACAGAGCACTATATAAATGGTCCACACACTAATTATCTTGCGCTACAACATG